GGCGAAAGCATGATATGTTCTGTTTACAGGGTCATGTATTAAATTAGAATAGTTCTTAATATAACTTTAATGACAGACGTGTCTTCTTTATATGTGATTTATAGAAAGTGTTTTTATTCTTCAAAAACATACTAACAAAGAACAAAATAAGGGTGCACACAGTTGAGTATTTTGATATTAATTATTGTCACTGATATGTGCGCTAAAATCTGCCACATGCCCAAAACAAAAGAATAGTATCTACCATAAAATAAGCCCTACTTGCTCTACTTCGACCTTGCGACAGTTTTAAATCTGATGTAACGTAGAAGGTGGTGTAGCTAGACGTTGTGCTGGGAGGGATGGTCATCTGCTAGGCACGTAAGGACAGACACTCGCATATTTCTATATTTGCTTTATAGTTATTTACGTTCATATGTTATTTTATAGTGTGGCCGATATAAAACCATACAACTTGCGAAGAAATATAACCACAATATAATCATAAATTCACTTTTGCACTAATTATTATTCCTTGTTGAAAATATGCCCATGAGTAGCCATGCGTAGTATACATCAATATTATCGACATTTTAAAGAGCGTGTTTGTATATATCATCTCGTATCATTTCGCATGTGCTTAATGACTTATTATTGCGACCGACCGAAAAATATGAACTATCGGGTCGCGGTTTTTTTTGTCTTTTTTAATAGGCCCAAATATTAAAACCTCGCCATTTTAAGCAGTAAAAAAGTGTTTCCTCTAAAAATTAACGATCCCGGAACGTTGTTTGATTCCCAGGGTCCCAGGGGATGAGTGGCGACTTTTAACTTCGGTTGATCTGTATTTATCTGAATAAAAAGAAAAAAATTCCGACCGACCGACCCAATTTTTCAATTTTCCGACTTGAGGGCAACATAAGTTTTTTTTTTTTACCTAATATTGCCCCAAACTCCATGCTTTCAGGAAAACTGGATATACAAATAATCGAACCATTAAATTCCTATCTGAGCATGCATTGTCGATTTTTTTTTCTAACAAATAATGTGCAATATATGCCCGTTTCAATACTTGGGGCACGTGCCGCTATACATAATTTACATAAAGCCGCTTTATACAATTAATTTTCTGTACAGTTTATAACTTCTCAGTGGTTAGTGTTGGCTTTAAAGCGCCGTGGTCGTCGCGCAGCGCGTCTTCGAATTACACGTAAATAAACAATGTATGTTACACGCGTTGTATACGTCGCTATGAGTCCCATATTGAACAGGACGCGGCACGACGACTGCCGCCTTTCAACACATTCTAAAAACTTATTAATTGCAATAATCACTCAATTCCTTTCACCAGTGTTAAAAATAAATGTCACGACACCTTACTTTAAATAATGTTATGAATCTGTTTTCATTTCCAATTTCTTGGTTAAGCCACACATTCCCAGAACCGTAAAAAACAAACAAAGACATTTAAGATCATATGCCCATATATATTGTTTTTATAATCGGCCGCCCGTTTGACAGCAAATTATGGTCGTATAGTCCCCGAGTTGAAACACACAGCAATCCTCACAGACAACGCACAATGTCGATAGTTCACGAATGTTTTAAATTGATACAATAATTCTTTTACATCTGAATATTTGCATGATTTAATGATGTTTTAAATAATTTTCAGTTACTCACATCTGAGTAATATTTAATGACACGATACGTTGTACGATATCAGAATTTCGATTTAATCGGCTATAAAAAATCGCGGAAGATGACGGTGGAAGAGGCGAGTGGCCTCTTAACTGAATCACCGCACTCGACCGCATGGGGGCGTTCAACATAATCAGTGATGACAATGGAGAGGAGAAGTTGGTTGTAAGTATGGAAAATATTGTTATTAGGTGTAAAAACTCACTATCATAAATTAATTAACAGAAAATACTTGACACAAAATATTCTTGAGTATACACTGTTGATGTATAAGAACAGACTTATACCTTGTTAATTACACACTATTTAAATAGTGTTTGAAGGATAAACAAAAGACAGAGACGGAGGCTAGATTGTGTGGGTGGGATTGAGTAAATTGCTTACCGACTGAGTAATATTTAAATATTACGCGACAATAGTGTCAAATATAATCACACATGGAAAAACGGGGGAATGAAATCAAACAGGTTTTATTATCATGAAAATACTTATACTGACTAAAAAACAAACACATAGGTCTCTTCGAATTCAGGACAGCATAAAAACCTAAACATGCACACTACACTACACTACACTACACTACACTACACTACACTACACTACACTACACTACACTACACTACACTACACTACACTACACTACACTACACTACACTACATTGGTGAAAATACACAAAGCTATAATAATAATAATAGTAATAACGGTGACTAAATATTTGCTCACGTCACTGTTAAGAGGATACATGGGGTTGAACAGAGATTGGACGTATAGTTTGTCGTCTGTGGTGATATTCCTGTTTTATGTCGAATTTAACTTTTCGTCGCGTCGATCAACGTGGCGATCTAATCTACGCTTGCGAATCGTTAGTAAACTCACAGCTGTAAGTGGGACGCCCTCTACTACTTGTGACATTTGGTGTTTTGATATATAAGCGACTCAGTACAATATTCACTCAAATACAATACCGAGGTGCGATTGAAGATTAGAAAATCCGAAAAAATAAGTATGTTAAATTATAGAAAAATTACCAGTTTGTATACCATTGCCAACCCGCTCCATGTTAAGTAATTTACAACTGCTTATATAGAGTTACACATATGTAATTGTTTAAAACATCTTTGAAAAATGTAACTTACTATTGTACTGTTTGTCTGTGAATATTGATGAAAATAACAAAAACGCAGAGAAAATGTGTGTTCTATAAATAATTTATAATGGTCGTGATATCAAATATTTTGTACCAATGTGTGAAAGCAATTTTACTATATTAAATGTGGATGAGTGTCAAGTCGTGTCATACTACGCTATTTTGTCTTGTATGGCAGTCCCCTTTTTACTGAACACGTAATACATGTCTGTAATGACAATACTCAACCAGGAATTGGTTTAAAAATATGTTTATCTACTGAATATGTAACATACATTTCAAAAATGTAACATGCATTTAAAAAAAAAATACCTTCGAATTTTCATGTTACACTTCATGTCAACCATGCTAACAAATTAACCTAATGCACGGTTACCAGATTATTATTCTTAATATATGTAATAAAATATAATTTCGTGTAATGTATAATTATTCAATAGCTAATGCTTTTCTCGACCTTTAAGGAATATTACCATACAAAGAGTAGTGCACACAATGTAGACTCTCTGGGCTCCTGGAACTCTCAAATCCTCTTGTTTCTTGTCCAGAAACAGATTCTTAGTCTGATTTTGACCCAATCTTCCTATCGAGCGCATTTATTGAATTGTATCTTTTTTCCAGACGTGTTTCAATTTTGTTCATTCCATTTTACTGGCTCGGCACGCTTAGGGTTGTAGTATTTTCGTGACTATTACGTGACTGAAATGTACCTTAGTAACGGATAAATCAAGTGTATTCTCGATTGTGCGATTATTGCTGTCATGACATATTAATCAACAATTACAAATTAAGCAAATACAACACACCACGCTCATATTTATACCACAAGATTGTTTCACAACTCAAACCAATGTAGGGTGGTTTTTTAAAATCAAATGGCTTCATTTGGTTGCCGTCGTTACATGACAGACGACAAGAAATTTTAGAACAAATTCAACAAAACTCATCCCACCACTGGTATTTTAGGGATATTACGTAATATATGGCCAACTTAATGGAATATGAGATTGATGAAACTTTATAGTTCAGTTTATACGTTTAATGTAGGCTGCAACTCTTCTCAAATTCTAGCGGACTGTCTGAAAATAAAAATGAGTGCAGCAACAAGTATCGCGCATGCGTGGTACTGTCAACTTACTGTTATGACTGAACTATAACCTTACACATATATTAATGCAGGGTGCGGTTCACTTTTAACAATAGACTTCTTTCATAACAATACTTTAATAAGAACACTTAACATTATTATCACAGCGGTAAAACAATAGCATTAAAGAAACTAGACGTTGTACGTAGATTTTCATGCAAACACTGACTATGAGGACGATGTGATATTACCACCTACTGTTACGGTTTATAATTCAACAGCATTGGGAGAATAAATGTTGAACGTTGGACTGCATCACTAAAGATTTGTCACAGTGTATTGTGTTCGTTTCCTCTCACCGAAATCGAGCAGCCTTATATTAGAACACCAACAATAGCAGTGACTTTACTAGCACTATTTGTAATTCCAATGGTATATGCTTAGACTACCAAACTCTGAACACATTAAGTATGTGACACAAAGGTCATGCATGTCATAAAGATGTTTACTCATAAGCAATTTCACCGCCATGACGTCCTTAATTTCAGTATACGTTCATGAAATATGAACTGGACTAGTTGTCCGACGGAGTTGTTCATTAATAAAAGATACGAATTCATTATTGGGTCACAAGAGAACTGCATGGACCGTGACTGTTAAAAGTAAATGATCAGCACAGATAGCTTGCATTGAAATATAAATTCCCATTACGTGTATAAGATGGAGTCTGTGCTGTTTGCACTGACATTGCCGTGTTGACTTTTAACTAATGTCCAATTAACCGTTATTAGCACACTAACATGGGGACAGGACGTGCCGCACAATATAAATTATAACTGCCACTTACCAGTGACGTCATTCAAAGTATTAATGTTAATGTTAATAAACATTGACACTTTTCGATCAATATGATCAATACTGATACAGAATTATTATCCATATATTATTTACACGAGTAAATATATGTAACTGCAGCTCACACCGTAACGACAATAACCGACATATCGTCACCGTATGCTAATCACTCTAAGTCTATTGAACTCATGTTGGTACACACGCATAGAAAATAGTCAAAACCATTCATCGTAGCAAACGCGTCCGAGTCTGTTCATGACCCAAACCTCGGCAAATTGACTGGAAGAAAAGCAGCCGCACCGAGCTAGCCATGAGAGTCGAAATATGGTAAGGGACGTTCGATGATATTTCAATCTTGATTTGACTGCAAGGCAACGTACATAATAGGGGCCCCAACTTGCCACATTTAGTATGTATGGTATGTTGCATATGTCTGTACATCGTTGAAATAAGTCTAATTAATAACAGTATTACCGCTAGTTCTTGAGAATACCGTAAGTTTTGCGGCTGTTCAGAACGACTTACGTTAGACTCGTCAAAAGTGAAAACCAAAATCAACAAAGTTTAAACCACTGCGTGAGTGAATCATAATTCTTTGTCCACTAAGCACTTATATTTTTCAAAAGACCGAGGTTGTTTTCGATAATGGTGTATACAATTAACGCACCGACGCCACTCAGGTTTTGTCAATACAACGTTTACAATCGGGCATTTATTTTCACATGGTCGGTGAATTCGTTCACAAATTGTGCATCCATTTGTATGTCCTTGGCCTCTTTTCTGTTTTATCATATATGTGTATTGGGATGATATATGGGATAGATTATTTTTTAAATAATTGTATCTAACGATACACACATGTGTGCATATGCGGATATTATTCAACGAAAGCATTACAAATATTGATGTAATATTAATATCGATTCGGTTCAGCGGGAGATGTAACTAAATATATGTTTAATATTGCCTAAAATAACGACAGAATTACGTAAAATTAATCAGGGAAACAAATCAATACAATATTTACCATAATCGATACAACAAGGATTGTAAAAGGGACAAGACTTGTAACAAGATGTTAAGTTATCAATAATTCTTGTCACGGATGCTGAGTCATTGACTAAGCGTTATCCATCCATCACTCCTTACATACATACACATATAGCAGCCTGCATACCAACACGCTACACTCACAAGCTTTTGTTCGTTACGTTTGTGTTGACTCCGACTGCAGTGTTTATAATATCAATAGACACGGTTCAGGTATTTACGTTGTAAATAATTTTACATTTATTGCAATGGGCTCACAGTCTGGTATGTTTAAATGGGACGTTCAATAAACAGATAACAGATGTTATTTATAGGTGTTCGAAATTAATGATCTGCATTTTAATGCGTTATTCACTCAATGGGTTGATTATTCTCTAAAACGATGTACATATATATATACTAGACAACGAGAGTGACACATCACAGTATGTGTGTGGAAATATGACACCCCCATCTAGATATTGTATATTACATTCACATTAAATCAAGAAAATATATCGAGCAAGTTTACTGTCAACTACATTGATTCAACAATACACGAGATCAAAGAAGACAATGTTCTCACCTCACGCACTGTTCGCTGACATAACGAACTCGGCAAATAATTTAATTGATTGCCAGTCACTTTGGGTAGCTCCAATGTATAAACTATCGTTACGTGTTTGACAGTGCCAAACTTCCAGTTTCATGCCCAGGCTATAAAAAACATGCAATAGCAAAAATAATGCACGTTGAATAACTTTAAAACAAAATCAAATAATGAATGTTTTTTTTCCCTTTAATGGTCTGCAACAATTAATATTACCAAATAGTGACGTGTAATGAATATTATTTATATTCACATATGAAGTTATAAAAATAGCAACTAAGGAAGTGTTTTAGCAGGTGCTCTATATTTGTAAGAGCATTGCATTGAATTAGCTGAACGAATCAATTTAGCATAACAGAATAGGATGATTACAATACTTTTTACACCATTCATTTCGACGGTCTGGGGGTTCGAATATCGCAAACTAGAGATACATTTCAGTTGAATGTAATACTACAACGGATGGAAGAATAAAATAACATATAATATGAGGTTATTACGAGGATAGCTCAAAGTATTCACGAAGACAGTACAGCTAGAGAGTGTCGACCGACGCGCATCGGAGATCGATGCGCAGCGTACTGTCTTTGAGGTATTCTCGTAATAACCTTATTATTATACATCTTTTCCTTCCAATGATACACCATGGGATTGCCGAAATCCAAAATGTTTAGAACAGAATAAGCGAGCTTCTTTGTGTTGAATGTGGTCAAACTCTGGTGGCAGCCATGTTTGTTTTTATCATTAGAGGACGCTTACGCGTGTAATCATTTCCTAATATGGTAGGATGAAAATACCCCGTAAAATTACGGCACGATGTAACTTATGGCGTTACGGTTACAGATGTATAATAATAACAACCGGTAGGTTGGCGATCTGCTCCGCCCAAAAAACAAGCAACATTTTTTCGGCTTTTGCCATGGTAGGAAATGAACGTGAAGCTAACGTCGGTTTATAACTAAAACCGGGACCTTAAACGAAGTTTGCAAAAACATTCAGTCTTTAGAAGTCACATTTTTCATTACTAGGACGTATTCTGCTGTTACATTTATTATTTCTAACCGTTTTTCGATAGTATTTTCTAGATTGAAGGCAACATTTACAGTTCATTCAAAGTTCAAAGTTGCGTTGGGATTACATTGATACAGTGTAACAACGTCGGCGCCAGTGATCTCTTACCTGTGCGCAACGTAGCTAAAATAAAAAGCATGATCATCTGAACACTGCTATTACAGAACTGGTAAAAGGTAGTACATTTGGGGCAAAATTATTCAAAAATAAGTGTTTGGCTCTTGCCATGGTAGCGGTGGGCCAGGAATTTTTTCCAATTAGTGATAGTACGATCTGCCTGTCAAGTAGGAACAAAATCAGCGAAGCCAAAAAAATCACAGAGGAGTTAAAAGCCGTTGCTGGTGAAAAGTTACCTCTCGGTGATGAAAATAGACATAAAAAAACAGAAAATTGTGCCCACGTTCAAGCTGAGTAGAATGAGCTACGTCCGTGCTTTTTAATCCTGGAATTGTAGGCGGAGATACATGGCCAACTAGATTTGCTAGGCGCAGTTCACAAAATATTTACTCATGTACATTTCCTGAACTCTGGAATACAAGCCTTTTTATTCCTATTTTCAAATCTAGCTCTAAATCAGACATTTCAAACTACAGAGGAATAGCAATTTCTAGCTGCCCATTTTTGACAGTGTTTAGGCATAATGGTCCATGCTTAAACTACTTCAGTGTGGTATTACTGGAACATAAATGTAAGACATTATTACAAATATGTATAGCAAAGTGAATTATAAAGTTAACAGTAAGCAGGGCTGCGTCTAGTGATTTACCTGAAATATTCAGTTCTGATAAATGTGACCCACCTACATTAGAGAACACCTATGTCAACAATTTGTGCTCTAGCTGATGATATTTCATATCATCGGAAACAAAACAGGGTTTACAAGCTAGTCTTGACAAAATCGCTTAATTTGTTAATTTTCAATAAATAAAGAGATGTTTAGACAGTGATATCTTCTTCTTCAAAGTAGTGAAATAAGTATGGCTAGATCTTACAATTATCTTGGATTGGAGATTAGTGCCAATGGTAAATTTATAAAGGGGCTCAAACAACCTAAAAAGAAAGCACTAAAAACTGCTTTCTTTGAAATAAAAAATGGCTTTAATCAAATTTCATTTTTTAACTCTTTCTCTCACTGTTTGCTAAACTTATCAAACCGACTTTAGCTTATGTCGACCTGGGATGGTAAAACAAAAATTAACTCCCCAATTGAAGATTTTCATGAGTTGTAAATTTCTGTTAGGCGTTTCTTAATATACACCTTTAATAAAAATGTATAATGTGCTTGGTAGACACCCCTCAATGTATTCATCAACATATATTATTAGTATAAAATTTTGTTAACCGAATCCATAACTATACAAAATTTCTTTTAAAGTAAGCTAAGTTAATTAACTAATTAACTAAACAATTAACAGCCAATGGTGTCTGAATGGTGTTTGACAAATAACATCAGCTTAGCCATCTAATTTACTTATCAGATAAAATGAATTCATCGCAAATTACAAACATCCACAAACACGACGGAAGGTCTTCAACTAATGGAAATACAACAAACTCGGAACATATGTAACCTTTAAACTAAATTTTCTCTAGGAAGCCAATCTTACAAAACTAGAAAACACATAGTTACGGGTTTGCCTCATCAAATTTCGAGCGTGATCCTATTCTTAAAATTCGGCAAACGAATTTCTTTGAGTGACAAAATTTGTGACATGTGAAATTAAAACCAAGTGGAAGAAAACCAATTTCCTTATCAAATACAATAAATACCAGGATCTCATACATCCAAGATTTCAAAAGGAAATCACCAGAGGCACAGTTCACTGAATTCATTAGTAGCAGCTTGTATGCATCCATGTTGCATAATTTATCAAAACTGGATTGGAAATAAAGCATGGATTGTGTACGAATGTGTGCCTGTCTTGGTTCTCTAGCTCGGACTGTTTTCCTGTTTATTTTTTCGTTAGCTGCTGTGACTATTTCTATCTCCTCCATCTCATCTCATCTCAACAAAATATATAAACGTGGCAGGCATACTTGAAATATGAGAATCTGACACTATGTACTGATCAATGAAGGGGCGATTAGATGTAGTAAACTAGTATGTAAACAAACGGAAGTGATATCATACCGTCTATCCATACACCAGTAATTATGACATTGCTTGAAACGTTCAGTTATTATCAATAATTACAGCGAGTATTTACTTTCACGAACACCATATTATTCGGACACAGACTAGAGTGTGTACTGGGCTGTAATACAGACAGTGTATTGAGATCCGCCATACAAATCTAAGCATAATAGTAAATAATCCGAATGTGTTCATTTCATGCTTCAGTTGAATGTGTACACATAGAGTATATTGTACATAGACTGTATTGATTTACGTAGATTATCAGTGTCACCGAAGTTACTATGGATAAATACATCTATTGCATCACGTATGTCATCACCAGACATCTTTGTGTAATCGAGTCGCGCACAGAAAAGAACATTTCCATTTGGATGAAAACTGCCGGTTTCAATAACTTATAATGGTCATTGCATTGCATATGCAGTGGGGCGGAAAGGTCAGACAATATGAATATACCTTGGTATTATGTAATACTCTGACAGAATTTTATTAACATTCAAATCAGGCCTGTGTAATTGATTTCAATGCAAACTAATGTTTGAATCATTGCAGTGCGTGGGAAATAACCTTCCACCACGCTGAAGTGGGCAAGGCTTAATGTTTTAGAAATAAACAGACGTACTTTTCTAATAAGATGGCAATAAAAACATAAAGAAATTACTGAACGTCGATTTTATTTTAATATAATATAATATAAATTCTACGTTTTTTTTATCACTAGAGTTCTGGATTAAACGATGAGGACAAGGCTGGTAAGACAAAATTATTATTATTTTGTTTCATATTTTATATTTTACACTATTAATATTCACAAACTTATAAGTGCATTATAAGTTATCACTGATTACATGTTAACACTCATCGTAAGTTTACAGTTTCATTACAGTATCGTAACTATAAATTATAAGTATAAAGTGGTTAGTAGATATTTTATATTTTTCCGAAGTTTGATTAAAAACCTGATATAGCGCGAACAATGGTCAGATGGCATTGGAAGCTCTTATAGTGTTGTCGAGAATATTGTAAGAAAACATCAAGAAATTGTTTTATATTAATCTGTTTGTTTAAGTTTTTATTTGTCGTCAATTTAAGTTCGTGTAAAACTTTATCGGATAGGGTATGAACGAAAAATAAATTTGAAAATTTGTAACAAATAACTACTGCTGAACATTGAATGTACCTTGACATCCGCTGTAAATTTAAAAAAAAATAAATCGGAAACGCTGTAATCAATGCCAATTTCGTCTTGCTCTTGCTGTAAACACATGGTTTCCCAACATAAGGAAAACTTGTTGTTTATTATTAGATATTTAAGTAAGAACATGTTCTGAATCTTTAATATGCCAGAGAAACATATTAAGCGGCAGTATTACAGTACCGGAATGATTGACATTAAAACTCAACTGAAATAGTAGTTTCGAATTATAATTGTATTAAATAACGAGAGGCTTGCTGGCACTGAGAATATCATATGATAATGTTTATAGGTTCCACACCACAATGTATCATGGCATAGGGTCACGTAGTGTAAAGTTTTAAAAACAACATTATATTTCACCGGAAACTTTCAACGTAGTATGAGTCTGTTTTCGATTTATTTTAAAGACTAAACAAATCAGTTTTTTTTTTAGTTTTTTTTTATTTGGGGCTTAGCACAATGGCTTTAACATAACCCTGATTTTCACATTGTCGTCTATTAAGAGTTCAATTATAGTTAGATAACTACAAAAGACTAAGGGGTAGAGAAGGCGTTACCTTATTTTCAATCCATAAAACAGAACTAAATAAAGGTGATACAATTGATCATTCAAGGCAAACACAGACAACATCAAGGATTTTGTCAGGATGCCGAACACAGTGAAACGACCTAAGTGTATACTGCCGTCAGCGACGGTTGTATGAACACCATTCGTTTAACTGCCAAAGAATCGCGTTACAATCTGCTCACGGCGTAGGTGCATACGGTTTCCCGACCACTAGTAAATATCCAGACAGTAAAAGTTAAGATTATTTGTCAAGTAAAAACGCTATACAAAACGTTTACAATAAAAAACATTGTCGGACACGCAACATTATCTTAAAATGGAGAATGTTCGATTATGAATTGAAATAATGTAATAATATAATCATTTACAATCAATATAATCAACGTTAACTAAATTTACACTGCTTGATTCCCACCCATTGTAACTCACATACTCTCACTGCTTGATTCACACACATTGTAACTCACATATTCTCACTGCTTGATTCACACGCATTGTAACTCACATATTCTCACTGCTTGATTCACACCCATTGTAACTCACATATTCTCACTGCTTGATTCACACACATTGTAACTCACATATTCTCACTGCTTGATTCACACCCATTGTAACTCACATATTTTCACTGCTTGATTCAAACCCATTGTAACTCTCATATTCTCACTGCTTGATTCACGTTTATTGTAACTCTCATATACTTACTGTTAAATTTACTCATGTACACATAATTGTAACTCACATATACTCTCTAGATTTATTTATTGTAGCACTCACTTCACATATTACGCATTTATCCTAACGCATACAGTCATTTTATCATGTATATATTCATTTCTTACGTGCAGTCACTCATTGCATTATGTATAAATTCATTTTATCTCACAGTCACTCACTGCATTATGTACACATTCATTGTAACTCACAGTCACTCATTGCATTATGTACACATTCATTGTCACTCACAGTCACTCATTGCATCCCCTGCACATTCATTGTAAATCACAGTCACTCGTTGCATTATGTAAACATTCATTGCAACTCACAATCACTCATTGCATTGTGTACACATTCAATGTAACTCACAGTCACTCACTGCATTCTGTACACATTCATTTTTACTCCCAATCACTCACTGCATTCTGTACACATTCATTGTAACTCACAGTCACTCATTGTATTCTGTACACATTCATTTTAACTCGCTGTCCGTCATTGCATTATGTACACATTCATTGTAACTAACAGTAACCCATTGCATTATGTACACATTCATTGTAACTCACAGTCACTCATTGTATTCGGTACACATTCATTGTAACTCAAGGTTACTCACTGCATTATGTACACATTCATTGTAACTAACAGTAACCCATTGCAATATGTACACATTCATTGTAACTCACAGTGACTCATTGCATTATGTACACATTCATTTTAACTCACAGTCACTCATTGCATTATGCACACATTCAGTTTAACT